TAGATAGTATAGTATAAATTTTTCTTGTTTCTTGAAGTAGGCCTGTAATGGTATGAATTTCGCTCTCAGAACTACTTTTGCTGCACCCCATAAATTTTGTGATGTTGTATGTTCATTTTCATTGATTTCCTGGAAGTTTTTTTTATTTCTTCCTTGATCTATTTTGTAATGCATTCATTGTTTAATTATGTGTTATTTAGCCTCCATGTTTTTGAGTGCTTTTATTGGAATGAATTTCTAGTTACATGTCATTGTGATCTGAGAATATGCTTGATATGATTTGAATCTTCTTGAACTTGTAGAGACTTAGTTTATATCCTAACATGTGGTCTGTCCTTGCAAATATTCCAGGTGCACTTGAGAAGAATGTGTATTCTGCAGTTTTGGGGTGTAATTCTCTGTAGATATCTATCAAATCCATCTGATATGGTGTATCGTTTAGGGTCAGTGTTTCCTCATTACTTTTTTGTCTAGAGGATATATCCAATGATATCAGCGGGGTGTTGAAGTCCCCTGCTATGATTGTATTGCTGTCAATTTCTCCTTTGAAGTCCTCCAGAAGTTTTTAAATATATTTTGGTGCTCCTATATTGGGTACATATATATATTTACCAAGGTTATATCCTCCTGTTGGATCGATCCTTTTAATATTACGTAATGGCCTTCTTTGTCTCTTGTTACGGCCTTTATTTTAAAGTCTATTTGTTTCAGATAAGAGGACTGCTACCCTAGCTTTTATTCATTTTCATTTGCTAGAAAAATTTTTTTCTATCCCTTCACTTTCAACCTGTGTGAGTCTTTTGTTGTGATGTGGGTCTCTTGTAGACAATATATATATGAGTCATGTTTTCTTATCCATTCAGCCATTCTGTGTCTTTTGATTGGAGGATTTAATCTATTTACATTTAAGGTTATTATTGATATGTACTTATTTTTATTGCCATTTTTATTTATTATGCCCATATTTCTCTTTCTATTTCTTCTGTTTACTACAGAAGTCCTTTTAACATTTCTTGCAGTCTTGGTTCGATGTTAATATTTCCCTTCTCCTTTATTTTTTTGGTCTGAGAAGCTCCTTATTTCACCTTCTATTTTGAATGATAGCCTTGCTGGATAAAGTAGTCTTGGATTCAGATCCTTGTTTTTCTTTACCTTGAATACTTCATGCCATTCCCTTCTGGCCCATAGTGTTTCTGTTGAGAAATCAGTTGATTTTCTTTTTGTCTTTAATTTTTGGCATTTTAATTATGAGGTGTTTTGGTTTGGGTCGCTTTGAGTTCTTCTTGCTTGGGACTCTCTGTGCTTCCTGAACTTGCATGACTTTTTCCTTCACCAAGTTAGGAAAGTTCTGGGCCACTATTTCTTCAAATATATTCTCTAACCCTTGCTCACTTTCTTTTTCTTCTCATACTCCAATCATGCGAATGTTGTTATGTTTCATATTGTCTCACAGCTCTCTTAAACTGATCTCTGTTTCTTAAACGTTTTTCTTTTTGGTTCTCTGATTGAGTGATTTTGTTCTACCCTGTCTTCTAATTGGCCAATCCAATCCTCACCTTTCTCTAATCTGCTTGTTATTACTTCCAATATGTTCTTTATTTCTACTATGTCATTCTTCATTTCTGCTTGGTGATTTTTCATTTCCATTGGTTGATTTTTATTGTTACTCATGCTGTTGAGCTTATTCATAATCATTAATCTGGACATCACATCTGACACTTGTTTATCTCCATTTTATTTAGCTCTTCTTCTGTAGAATTCTCTTCTTCTTTCATTTGGGACTTGTTTCTTTGTTTCACCATTTTGGCTGTCTCAGCAGGGTTTGGAAATTGCCAAAACCTCCCTATGAGTATTGATGTTCTTCATATTGTGGCTCCCTGTGCTGGGTTGGATGAGTATGGAAGGGCCCATGTCAAACACCAATGTCTAATCTTACTTTCCTAGGTAGAGTTGCAGCCCAGCAAAGATTTAATTATCCCAGAGTCTTTGCCTACAGGCTGACTGTTAGTGTCAGTTACTTAATAAGCCTCAGATTGTAGCCCTCAAGTGAATGAAAAATCCTCCAGATGTGCAGGGTAAGAGGATTTCTAGTGGGTGGGTCAAGTGCTTCTCCCCCTGGGCTAAAGCTGCTTTGAGAGGAAAACTCTGCCTGAAGAAAATGGTTTCTATAGCATAGGTTAATGACTCAGCACTGGAGTCCAGGCAGCTCCCTTCTAAGCTTTGACCCCCAACTCCTTGAAACCCAGTGACCAATGATCATGAGCTGGGCCTAAGGGTCAGAGAACCCAGAGACTCATCTTCACTTGCAGGCTGGCAGGTAGTCTCTGGTAGTTAATAAACCCCACTCTTGGCCGGGTGGGGTTAAATTCCCAAGGGAGGAGCAGTTGCATCTCTCCAGGGCTAAAGCTGCTCTGATGGGAAGGGGCTGCTTGAGAAATATGGCTACTGTAGCACAGGGGAATGACTCAGCATAGGGCTCTTGATGGCCTCCTTCCCAGCTCTCTTCCCATTGCCATGAACTGCTGACTCTCCTCACACAGCTCCAGTCCAGTCTGCCCACCCTCTGTGGAAGCCCAGTATGAGTGGCTGTAGCTGTAATTTAGTGCACTGGTCCTTCAAGAAAGTGCCAGTATTCCCAGTGCCTCTCCCTGCCAGACAGAACCTCTGCTCTGGTAATTTTCTGAGCCAGTTGTTATGTGGGCGACTTCCTCTCTTCCCCCAGTCTGTGCTGGGGAGCCAGCTTAGGGTTTAAACCCCCAACTTCTCAGAGGGAACTTCTCACAAGTAAGATAGCCTTCAGCTGCTACCTGTGGGAATCCAGCCAGCCCTCTCGTACCTCCACACCTCCTCTCAGTCTCATTTTGGGGTCCTCTTTATGTCCTTCATTATAAGGGTTCTCTCCAGCTGCTCTTTAGGTGTATATTCCAGATAGCTTTTCTTTGTGTGTGTGTGTGTTACATATTTTATTTTATTTTTTTTATTAATTAATTTTTTTTATAGATGTTTCTCCTTTCCCCCCCACTGATTCCCCTCCCCTTCCCTCCCTGCCTTTTCCCCAGTTTGTTGTCCATGTCCACTGTTCATGCATACATGCATATAAGTTCTGTGGTTTTACTTGTAATTCCAGTTTGGTCCTGGGAGACGGTCTGTGTAGTTTCTACTCATTTGGCCACCATTTTTTCCCACCCAATTCTATGAATCTTATGCCTATTGATTTTTCAGTTCTAGAACTCCAATCTTAGTTTTACAACATTCTAAGCTTTTAAAAAATTTTGGCAGTTTAATGCAATTTACAAATACCAATAGCATACAAGTTGTGGAAAGGGGAATCACTAAATTGTGAGAATGGGTAAGTCTACTCTTAAAATGTTCAAGGTTGGTAGATTAAACCACATTTAATAGTGATGAAGAAAATTGCAAGGGTTTTGCTTTCTGTTTTTTAATTCTAGTGGGAAAGATATATACTTAATGTATCTTTAAATGGGGGCTTTGCTAGTTTTCAGTTACTTGATAAACTGAGTAATGTGTAGTGTGATTTCCTGACATGGCCAGCAGAGGCCTCCACGTGCCTATCTCCAGCTGTCCAGTTATTCCTGAAGGCTGATTCTGGGAAGGAATATGAGACTGCTGAGTTACCAGGTCAGGGATAGCACAGATCACAACGTGTGATCGACCAGAACATGTTTCTGAGAGTCTATTCAATGTTTTCAGCATATGTGGCCATAGCAATAGTACTTTCTCTGTGCCAGGCATAAGAAGGGGCTAGGTAGAAGCTCGCCTTTAATGGGTACTTAATGTAACAGTTGTTCTTGTATCTGAGCGAGGCCTTTCTGCAACTTCTGTCAAGGGAACTTGGGTTCTAGGGGTGGCATCAACTTCAAGTTGTGCACAGATGAGACATTTGCAAAGACGCTAGGCTTGTGACTTAACAGTAGGAAGTAGTGGAAGGAACAGTGAGCCAGTTCTAAGTCCAGGCCCTAGGACACTGTGTGTGCTTCTGTTCTTAGGAGAATTAGCCTGAGTTGGACTACTAGAGGAATGTGAGACACTCAAGGCCAAAAATTCAGCTGCCCTGCTGACAGCCAGCACCAGATCCTCAGAACTACAAATTCATAGCTGAGCCACCTAGAAGACACATGAGAAGGCTCAACCTAAATCAGCTGGATCTAGTCCATTCTAACACAATCTCCCTGCAGACCTTTAGAAAAATGATTAATGATAAATAGCTGTTGTTTTTAAGCAACTAAGTTTTGAGTTGGTTTGTTACACAGAGTAGCAAAATAACAACAGTGCTTATTTCAGGAGGAACACTATTACATCAAAAATGTTTTAATAAGCCCTGGCCGGTTTGGCTCAGCGGTTGGAGCGTCAGCCTGCGGTCTGGAGAGACCCGGATTTGGTTCCCACTAAGGGCATGTGCCTCGGTTGTGGTTTGTCCCCGGTCCTGGTTGGGTCATGTGGGTGGCAACCACTCAATGTGTCCCTTTCACGTCGATGTTTCTCTGTCTCTCTCTCTCTCTCTCGCTCTCGCTCTCTCTCTCCCTCCCACTCTATCTGAACAAAATATCAAAAAAAAAAATGTTTTAATAATACGAGATTCATATGACCTATGTTGGAAATAATTATCAGATTTTTCTTGATGCATGATGGAATTATATAAGACAATGACTGTTCCTATGATATTAGTACTTCTCTACCAATCTATTATGTGTTTTGTTTGTTTGTATGTTAATCCTCACCCTAGTATATTTTTCCATTGATTTTAGATACAGTGGAAGAGAGGGAGGGAGGGAGAGAGAGAAAGAGAGAGAGAGAGAGATTGGTTGCCTCCTGGCATGTGACCTGAATCAACCTGAAATCGAAGTATGTGTCCTTGACCGGGAATCAAACTAATGACCCTTTGGTGTGAAGGCTGATGCTCTAACCAGAATACACTGGCCAGGGCCAATCTATTATGTTTTCATAAGAAATGTACACCAAGACAGAAAGTATTAACTCACAGTCCTTCTGCAATGCACTCTAGTGAAAGAACATTTCCTCTTAATTCTTCTTTGTTACTTGCATTGCCTTCTGGAGTTAAAAATGTTGGTGGCCTCTCTCTACTTGATTTAGCTGCAAAAGAGAAAATCAATATGCATTAAAAGTTATGAATTTGTATTTCTAGAAATGCAGTTCACTGCCTAAAAGCCTAATCCCTTTCCAAAAATATTTAACATTGTAAAATTTTTAAAACGACACATGCACACCCTTTGCCTTACAAATAGTCACTGCTTACTCAGCCAAGAATAGAAACAATTTTGGTTGCATAAGCAATTATAGCAAAAACTATTCTCTTTTTGTATTTTTCCTTAATTTGGGGTAGATTTTTATAAGGTTTTTGTAGACAGGTAAGTTTTCAAAATGTAGACATAGAAAGAAAAATCATGTTCTCAAACTATATACATCACTTAAAATTAGTGCTTAGGTCAAAGCGAAAATTAACTGTCTACCTTCTCGAAGATGTTAGATTTTTCTGAAAGGTACGACTATGGAAGGGCTAATTTGTTTTATACCTGGGACAACATTACACCCAATTCCACTGAGTAATGACAAAGATATATCTGTGGTAGATGTGTAACATACCAACCCCCCAAACTGCAAGGTTTATGGAAAACAAAACAAAACAAGAAAGTTACTAACAGAGGTCTGGTAACTTTTGCCATAAATTTAGAATAATATTGGAGTTAAAGAGACTGAAATTGGTTTTCTTAATGAAAATATAAAGAGGGCTTGAATCAGAGATCTCAGGGATATTTATACAGAACATCTTCTTTCTTATGGTGATGTTGCCTAAATGTGGCCTTATATTCTGCTGAACTCTCTGAAAAACTTAAAGTAGAAATCAAGCCAATTGAGGCCTATTCAGATTCTATAGCTCTTTACAGTTTTCAAAACTTTAATGCATTAACTATTTGATGCTTCCAAAATCCGAATAGAAGGTAATATATAAATTATTCTCATTTCTCAGAAGAAAAAAACTGAATACCATAAAAGGTATTCCTTGAGAGAAATTAGGGTTTTCCTAAGATTTTAGAGACAGAATAAATCTTACCCCTCTGGAATCACTTTGGAAATGGTTGTAAGGCCTATATCTTTCAGAAGTATATTACAATAAACATAAAATAAGACAGGTATCTCTACTCTGATCATTGATACAACCTTAATTTTTTTTTTACTTCATATCTCAAAGGTAAAATATTAATGCAGCAGAAATTCTTCTTTATAGATAATTAAGAAGACCCTCATATCTAGAAAGCGTACTTTTTATTAGTTCTCTGTACCTGAGATACACTTTCCCTTAAGAAAATAAAATTCTTTTTTTTGAATGAATGAAATTAAATTATCTATTTTGTAATAAATCACTTCTACTGAAGACTAGGTTTTAAACAAAACTATGAAATACTATTGTTAATACTATATGATATTCAGGACTTCTGGTCATAATGGTGGTATAGGTAATTATACGATATTCATAATGTCATGTGAGAACAGGTGGGAAATGTGATGACTTACTATCAAAATCCACTTAATGTTAGTTGCTAAAGGTTACTAAGACTGAAGAGTTAGTATTCAAGCAGGTTAATGTACCCTGCTAGTTCTTATTTAGTTCATGAGAAAAATGTTTGAACAAGACAAAAAATGAAAAATATAATTCTGAACATACATGAGAACATTTTTCCAAATTATGTGAAATGGTTCTTTACATGAAAACAGCTATAATAATTTTCATATGGAAAATATTTTAGTGGCATGTTTGCAAACTTATAAATTTCACAAGAAACATACATTTATTCTAGTGGTAACTAGGAATTTCATAAAGAAATAAGGTTAAATAGCCATGGAGGTGAAGTTAGTAAACTAAATTCTACAATGAAGGTGAGAATGTCAGTTACAGTCACCATAACTCACCACCATAAAACTCAGTGTCACTCAAATTAGCAGCTGTAGTGTCATTCAATTCATCCACTGAAATAAATAGAATATTATGAAGAATGTATAAAGTAGGGGAGAAGGTATTTTAAAAATAAATATTGGGCAATGAAAACAAACATATACAGCTATGCCGACCAAGTGTCACCCCTACAAACTAAAAACAGTGCTTTATATTGTACATGACTAACTCATTAATTTACTGTCACCTCCATCATGTGAACATATAACTGAAGCTGCAGGATGGCCAATTAAAGGCATCGTGGGGCATAAAGCACACACAAATCAGCAGAACTTCAAATAGATTTAGAAAGTCACCAGGGAAACAGTAATGTTAACAACAGCAAAAAAAAAGTAAAATAAAGTATTTAGGGTATGTATGAATGCTTTTTATAACACATATGCCAACACCTTAGTCACTATTCATAGGTAGTTTCCTGATCAATGAACCTGTTAACTTCAGACAGTGCTATTTAATAGTTAATATGTTTTGCACATATTTGTACATCATTGAAAGACAGATGCAGGAAGCTAAACTCTTACCTAAAATCACCTTCAGAGAAATAGGTTGCTTCTGCTGTATGGTTTGAGTGTGGTTAAATCTGGCATAGCAGATATAGTCATCACGGGTATCCTCTGGGAGAACATTGGAAAAATAAAGGTCTCCATTCAGACCCTGGGAAACCCTCTCACTTTGAGGAAGTCTTTGAAAGGCTGGAAAAAGGCAGAGAAATATCCACATCATTCTATCATAAAGTGACCACTTTCCAAATTAGCAAGACAAATGTATCTATTAATAGTTCTATGAATTTCACTTGAATATTTTTTCTCTATAAAGCTTTTTGAGTAAAAGCATATAACTGTAAGCAACAACAACAAAATAACACATTAAAACTCCAATTGTACCTGCTGACCCTACTTTCTCTGGAGTAGGGCAGAGGTGATATTAGAGTTGTTCAGTGAAGTGTTTATTAAGCAAGTGTAAACCAAAAAAGGTTTGCCAAATAAAGAGTGTGTGACTTTTCCTAATATTGAAGTTAGTCCCTAATTATTAAACACATATACACACATGCCTTAGAATATGCATTAAGGAATCTTATAAGGATGTTAACATGGGTTGCGTTTGATAAATGGTCAGACATCAAATACTGTGAGAGCACCTAATTGTTTCAGGTAAAGTCAACTCCTTCAGTGTCTCCTACTTCATTCAAAGTAAAGCCCATGGTTTTCTATCACTCTCCACTTTGACTCACTGAGTAGGCCCCACTGGCCTCCCTGCTGCTTTTTACAAACACCAAGGTGCTCCTGCCTTAGGGGCTTATACCAGTTTTTCCTTTCACCCAGATATTTAGGGGCCTGCCTTGCTCTTTCATTCCATTGTCTCTTAAAACTCTGCTTATTTTCCTTCCTAGCATTTATTGCTAACTGACACATATTTTCTACATGAATTTATTGTCTGCTTCCTTCTCCACCCAAATTTATTCCCACTGCAGAAAATTTGTTTGGTTTATTTAGAGCAGTGCCTGGAACACAGTAGATGCTCAACAAAATCAAGTGAATGAATGAAATGATGTTACCTATTTCAATGAGCACTTATTTATTATAAACATTTTATGAATCACAAGAGATAATAATTTATTGTGACAGCAAATAATTATAAGACTCTTGAAGAGAGAAAATTCATATTTTTGAAACTTACAATTATCCATCCAGAATATTATAGCTGGTGGTAATCCAATTGGGGGTCTACAGGAAAGGATCAAAGACTGGCCACTTGGAAGTATTATTCGTTTAAGTTTTTCTTTGGTCCACAATGGTGACCCTATGACATAAAATAATAACTTCTAAGTTATTTCTGCATTGAAAAAGAAAAAGAGCACTAGAAAGACAAACTAAACTTTTGGGAAATAATAACTCAGCATTTATGAACATTCAGATATCAAGAAAATAATTTTTAAATACAGTGTTAAAAGTAAAAAAAAACAAAAAAACAAAAACCCACAATTTTCATTAACTGCCTTTGATTCCAAGCCTAAGAAACTATATTAAATAAATCATTAAGAAGATACCTAATAATTGTATTATAAGAATGTTCTCCACACAAAAAAAATGAAAAACACTTAAATGTCCACAGATTTGTAAATAACATAACTGTAAATATCGTACAGCATTATAAATTATATAAGTACACTTATTTATAAGATTGATACAAGAATATACATATTATAGGCAAACCAGAAAAGATTATAAAATAGTACTTCAGAATGAGCTTGTTTTAAACAAATACAAACATATCTAGAAAAAAATAAAAAGAGCAGTAATTATTTTCTTGAGTGGAAGAATCCATGAGTAATTTTTAAATTTCTTTTTTGTTTATTTATAATTAATTTTTATATAATAAACACATATTACACATATAATATAAAAAAGCTTTAAAGATAAGAAGGTATCAATGGGGTAAAATGAGAGACATCTGTAACAAAAAAAAATTAATACATCAAAAAAAAAAAGCTTTAAATATGACTAGAATTACCAATGGTCACTTTTCCTTAAATACATACTCTTGGGTTGTTGAGAGGGTTTAGGTACCAACCACTGTAAAAACAGCCACAGTAATATCAAGGTAGTGAGGCCACTCTATTTCTACTTAAATTTTGAAACAAAAATGATTTTCTTTTTCTTTTATTGATTTTAGAGAGACGGGAAGAGAGATAGAGAGAGAGATAGAAACATCAATGAAAGAGAACAGTGATTGTCCATCTCCTGCATGCCCTCCCACTGGGGATTTGGCCTGCAACCTGGGCATGTGCCCTGACTGGGAATCAAACTGGTGACTGCTTGGTGCATGGGTCGATGATCAACCACTGAGCCACACTGGCTGGGTAAAACAAAAATATTTTAAAAAATAACACTGAGACCTCCTTACTCATTTATACTGAATTTATTTCCATCTGGCTATAGGGAGTTTGCTCATACATAAAATACATAAGACATTGATAATTACATCAATTTGGGAAAGAAACACTTTTCTTACCTCTGGTGTTCTATTCTGGACTTGTATAAAAGACATACTGGATTGACAAAACATTAGGCTGAGGAACTCAGAGTAAAGTGGAAAGTAGCAATAATTTTTATGCAAAAACAAAGTCATATTATTGGAATTAATGCCATTACATTCTCATAATAGTATTTGGATAATGTAACACATGCTGAGTCTCAGCCATACTTTAAAAAGGTCCACCAATTGGTGGACAAGTCCCACTTACTGGATGGACGAACAATAATATTATTAGAAATTGCAGCTCCACGCTCATTCCTGGCTGTACACTGGTAGACTCCTTCATAAGTCTCTGCTTTCCCTTCACTCATAATGTTAATTGTGAGGGTTCCTGAGCCAGGCTTCATGGTGACGAGAGGGTCTTTATCTATGTCAAAATGAGTCCCATTTCGGGTCCAGGAGAAGCTGCCCAACACATAAAGAATTAAGCTTGTTAATGGTCCAGAAAAACAGGATTACTTACTCTTTAACAAATTCCTTTCAGTTTATGGGTTTCCAGAAATAATTATTAGATTTTAATATTCAGTAAAAGAACCACAGGCTCAATACCTAAAATGTTTCAATGAATCATGATTTACAAAAGAATCCTGGCCACAGAATTTAGGGTACATGTCTTTATTAGAACAAGCCAAAATCTGAATCAATAAAGAAATCATGCACACAAATTGCTTGTCATTTTTCAAAGAAATACAGAAAGGAGTTCTCCTAGACACGCTATCTTAGAGCTTCATTAGCATTTTTATTGTAGTCTCCATTGCTCATAGAGTTGACAATTTATCTACAAAAATTTTCTCTGGGTTGAAATGTGACAAGGAAGGCCTTCACAAGTAATTAGACAAGTTTCAAGTTACCAAAATGTAAAATGTAGGTTGGGAGAAGGGGAAGAAATATGAATTCAGTGGCATTTTAAATGTTGGCTATTAAAAGTGGTAAATCTATATATAATATTTTTTGAGACTTTTTAATTCTAAAGATAATTTTATAAATTCTGCAGGCAGTATTTCAAATTATCAACTGAAATTCTCATTTCTCAGTTTTTAAATTTTTTTTAATTCCTCACCCAAGGACATTTTGTTGATTTATCTTCAGATACAGTGGGAGGGAGAGAGGGAGTAGGAGAGAGAGAGAAGCATCGACGTGAGAGAGACACATTGAGTGGTCACCACCCACATGACTCCAACCGGGGTTGGGGACAAACTGCAACCAAGGTACATGTCCTTAGTGGGAACGGAACCCAGGACTCTCTGGTACATGAGCCAACATTCTAACTGCTGAGCCAAACTGACCAGGGCTCTCAGTTTTATTTATATAACAGATTCCCAAATTCCAAAATGGTGGCGGAGTGAATGGAAGTTACACAGACCGTCTCCCAGGACCAAACTGGAATTACAATGAAAATAAAGACAAATCATCAGGAAAAAGCAACAGAAAAGCAGCTTGGAGGACCATATAACCAGGGACACTGATTCAATCCTGCTAGGATTGCGGAGGTGCAAGAGGGGGGTTGGGAGCCCACAGACAGCTGTGGCCTAAGCTGTGAGCAGCGCCCTCATCTTAAACTCCCAAATGGCTCCACAGCACAGAGCCAGGACAGATGCTAAAATAGCCACAGCCACTCATCTTGGGCTCTGGCAGAGGAAGGGAAGACTGGACTGGAACTGTGTGGGGACACTCGAGATTTGGAAGGCGCTCAGAGCTTTTGCTGAGTTGCTACCACTCAGGACAGTGGTCATCTTACTCCTTCCCAGGGCTCTGGGAAGAGGTGGTGGCCCTTCCCTCAGAGATTCACCACAACTCAGTGGCCATTGAAATGCAAATTGAGGCCCATTAACAACCAGCATCTGCCCCACCCTAAAAAATCCCCTTATGCTGAACACCTAAGGAAGTTTTTCATTCAACTGAGAAGCCACGGCTCTTCAAGTAACCACTACTGATAGCCTCCTGGCAAAAAGCTAGAGGATAACTACACTATTCCTGGGCCAGCACTCTAACCAGGAAAGTAGGACTTGACAGTGGTGTTTAACATGGGTCCTCCTTGGCTCATGCAAACCCAGGAGAGGGAGCCACAAATAGCAGAACACCAACCACCACAGAAAAAATTTGGCAGGCTCCAAAGCTCACCGTGATAGCCAAAATGGTGAAACACAGAAACAAAAGCCAAATGAAAGAACAAGAGACCTCTACCAAAGATGAGATAAAAGAGGTGCAAGTTAACAAATAGAATTCAGAGTCATGATCTTGAAGAAGCTAAACACCATGTATAAGGACATGAGCACCATGAGTAAAGACACAGAAATGTTGAAAATCAACCAGTTGGAAATTAAAAACCACCAAGAACAAATGAAGAATAACATATCAGAAATAAAGAACACATTGGAAGGTCTAAACAGCAGAGTAGAGGAAGTGGAGGACCGGATCAGTGAATTGAAATATGGTAGAAAAAAATCAACCAATCAGAAAACCAAAAGAAAAAAATAATTAAAAAACAGAAAGACAGCTTAAGAGAACTGTGGGACAACAGAAAACATAATAACATTTGCATCATAGGAGTCCCCGAAGAAGAAGAAAATGAGCAAGGGTTAGAGAATATATTTGAAGAAATAGTGACAGAAAACTTCGCTAATTTGGTGAAGGAAGAAGGCATTCATGTTCAAGAAGCACAGAGAGCCCCAAGTAAGAAGAACCCAAACATGCCCACGTCAAGACACATAGTAATCAAAATACCAAAAATTAAAGACAAAGAGAGAATCCTAAAAGCAGCAAGAGATAAGCAACAGGTTACCTACAAAGGAAACCCCATAAGGCTCTCAGCTGACTTCTCAAAAGAAACACTACAGGCCTTAAGGGAATGGTATGAGGTAATCAAGGTCATGAAAAACAAAGATCTGAATCCAAGACTACTCTACCCAGCAAGGCTATCATTCAAAATAGAAGGTCACATTAAGAACTTCCCAGACCAAAAAAAAAAAAAAAAAAAGGCTAAGAGAATACACATTAACACCAAACCAGCACTGCAAGAAATGTTAAAAGGACTGCTGTAATTAGCAGGACAAATAGGAAAAAAAACTATAGCCACATTAAACAAAAATGGCAATAAATAAGCACATATCAATAATCACCTTAAATGTAAATTGATTGAATGCTCCAATAAAAAGACACAGAGTAGCTAATTGGATAAGAAAGCATGACTCATCTATATGTTGTTTACAAAAGACCCACCAAACAACAAAAGACTCACATAGGTTGGAAGTGAAGGGATGGAAAAAATTCTTCCAAGCAAACAGAAAGGAAAAAAAAAAAAACTAGGGTAGCAATACTCATATCTGATAAAATAGATTTCAAAATGAAGGTCATAACTAGAGACAAAGAAGGCCACTACATAATACTGAAAGAATCTCTCCAACAGGAAGATATAACCTTGATAAACATATATGCACCAAATATAGGCGCACCAAAATATATTAAAAATCTTCTGGAAGACTTCAAAGGAGAAATTAATTGCAATACAATCATAGCAGGGGACTTCAACACCCCATTGACACCACTGGATAGATCCTCTAGACAAAAAATCAGCACGGAAACAGAGACTCTAAATGAAGGACTATATCAAATGGATATAATAAATACTACAGATAATTATACCCCAAAACTACAGAATTCACATTCTTCTCAAGTGCACATGGGACATTCTCAAAGACAGACCACATATTAGGACACAAACTAAGTCTCTACAAGTTCAAGAAGATTGAAATCATATCAAGCATCTTCTCAGATCACAATGGCATGCAACTAGAAATAAATTGCAACAAGAACATGCAAAGACATTTGAACACATAGAGGCTAAATAGCATGTTATTAAACAACAAATGGGTTACCGAGGAGATCAAGAAAGAAATTAAAAACTTCCTGGAAACCAATGAAAATGAACACACAACACAAAATCTATGGGATGTGGCAAAAGAAGTTCTGAGAGGGAAATACATAGCACTTACAGGCCTACCTCAAGAAACAAGAAAAATCTCTTATAGACTATCTAACCTCACATCTTAAAGAACTAGGAAGCAAACAAAAAGAAAACCCCAGAGCAAATAGAAGGAAAGAAAAAGTAAAGATCAGATCAAACATAAATGACATAGAGTCAAAAAAAAAAAAAAAAAAGGATCAATGAAACAAAGAGCTGGTTTTTCAAAAAGATAAACAAGATTGATGGACCCTTAGCTAGGATCACCAAGAAACAAAGAGAGAGAACCCCAATACACAAAATCAGAAATGAGAGAGGAGAAGTAACAACTGACACCACAGAAATACAAAAGATTGTAAACAACTACTGTGAATAATTATATGGCAACAAATTCGACAATCTAAGCGAAATGGACAAATTTCTCGTAACACAAGGTCTCCCAAAACTGGACCGAGAAGAGAGAGAAAACTTGAACAGACCAATAACAACAGAAGAAATTGATGATGTAATCAACTCTCCCAGCAAACAAAAGCCCAGGTCCAGATGGCTTCACGGGGGAGTTTTCCCAAACACTCAAAAAAGAACTAACATCCATTCACCTCAAACTATTTCAGAAAATTCAAGAAGAAGGAAGACTTCCAAATTTGTTTTATGAGGCCAGCATATTTCTAATTCCAAAACCAGAAAAGGACATTACAAAGAAAGAAAATTACAGGCCAATATCCCTGATGAACATAGACACCAAATCCTGAACTAAATACTAGCAAATTGGATCCAGCAATACACCAAAAAAATTATTCATCATGACCCAGTGGGATTCATCCCAGGGATGCAAGGCTGGTACAATATTCGCAAATCAACAAATGTGATACACCCCATAAATAAAATGAAGAATAAAAACCACGTGATCATATCAATAGATGCCAAAAAAACCTTCGACAAAAATTGGACAACCTAGGCAAAATAGAGTAATTCCTAGAAACACACACTCTTCCAACACTGAATCAAGAAAAATCAGAAAACCAGAAAAGACCAATAACAACTAACAAAATAGTAGCAGTAATCAATAAACCCCCAGCAAACAAAAGCCCTGTACCAAATGGCTTCACAGGAGAGTTTTACCAAACATTCAAAGAAGAAATAAGACCTGGCCACCTTAAACTATCCCAAATTCAAGAGGAAAACTTCCAAAACTCTTTTTATGAGGCTAGCATTATCCTTGTTTGAAAACCAGACAAGGACCCTACCAAGAAAGAAAATTACAGGTCAATATCCCTGATGAACATAGATGCTAAAGTCCTCAACAAAATGATAGCAAATGAGACCCAGCAATGTATTACAAAGATCATACACAATGACCAAACGGAATTTATTTCAAGGATGCAAGATTGGAATAATATTTGCAAATCAATAAATGTGATACATCACATAAACAAATTGAAAG